AGGGCTTCTGGCCCTTGGGAGGAGGAAGCTCTATTAGTTTATGTCTATGGGTATATGGTTAGAAGGCTTTCCACCTGAAGTCTGCCAATCTCCTTTAGTTCCCTTTGCAGTGCTTTGAAATGTCCAGTTTACAGGACTTGTACATTCTTTGTTAAATTTATTCCTAAGTATTGTATTTTTGATGCTATTATGAATGGAATTATTCTTCCATTGTATTATTGTTTGTTACTAGTATATAGACATACTACAATGAATTTTCTATGAGATTAATTGAAAGGAAAATCTTTTTGACGACAGTGTTGGAACAATGAAATAAACATAAGGAAAAGAATGAACCTTGACCCCTTTCTCAACATAGATCATATACCCAAAGTAAAAGCTCCTAGAACAGCTCTGTTCAGGGGAACTTTCTGTGAGAATGGAAATGTTCTCTGTGCTGTCCAGTTAGGTAGCCACTCATCACATGTGGCTATTGAGCAGTTGACATGTGAGTAAGCTGACTGAGAAATCAAGTTTTAAATTTTTCTTAATTCAAATTTAAATAGTCACCTATGGCTAGTGGCTTCTAGAACTAGCATGGTTCTAGAAGAAGGCATAAGAGAATATCTTTGTGATTTGAGGTTTGGCAATTATTTTATAGAGAGGATATAAAAAAGCAATAAACATAAGAAAAAAGTTAATAAATTGAACTTAACTGAAATTTAAAGCTTCTGCTCACTAAAAGACATCTTTAAGAAAATGAAAATACAAGTCACAGATCAAGAGAAAATGTTTGCAACACATATATCTACCAAAAAACCTGTATTCAGAATATATTACAAAACTCAGAGTGTTTATGATACATATATCTGACAAAGGCCCTGTATTCAGAATATATTACCAGCCTTCTACAAATAAAAGCAAAAACAAAAAACAATACAACTTTTAAAATGGGCAAAGGACTCACACAGACACTTCACAAAAGAAGTTAAACTAATAGTCAATAAGGACAGGAAGAGATGCTCAATATTACTAGATATCAGAGAAATGCACATTAAAACCACAGTGAGATGCCATTTCACTCCCATGAGAATGGCTAACATTAAAAAGACTGACAACATCAAATGCTGACAAGGATGTGGAACAGCTCTAATTCTCATACACTGTGGTGAGGGTGGAGAATGGCATGACCACTTTGGAAAACTTTGTGGTTTCTCATGAAGTTAAACACAGACCTACCGTATGACCTAGTAATTCTACTCTTAGGCATGTACTCAAGAGCAATAAAAACATAGGTGTACAAAGAGACTTTTCAAGAATGTTCATTGTAGTTTTACTCAAAAACTAGAAACAACCCAAATAACCTTTAAAAAGATAATGAATAAATGAATTGTAGTGTATTTATACAGTGGAATTATACTGAGCAAAAAAAAAAGACAGATGGTTGTTACATTGATCAACGTGGATGAATCTCAAAGAACATGCTGAGCAAAGGAATGCAGACACAAAAGGCTGAATATTGTGTGATTCCATTTCAAGAAAAGGCTAAACTAATCAGTGGTAAGAAAATTTCAAGACAGATTGCCTATAGGAAGTGGAATGAACTGGAAGTTCAAGAACAGGCAAAGCTAACCAATGGAAATGGAGATCAGAGCAGTGCTACCCAAAGGGGGTGGAAAATGAGTGAAAGAATACTTCCTAGGGAAAAGGACATATTCTATATCTTGATTGAAGATGGTGATTACATGGATGTATAAATTAATAAAAATACATTGAATTTTATACTTAAGATCTATGGATTTCTGTATGTAAATTTTACCCAGTGGTAGGATGGAATAGAAACTACATTGAAGCAAGATGTGTCCATGGTCATAGGTTTTCACATATAATTCCTTTAGTTTATCAGTCAATGAAAGAAAAGAACAGAAAGACAACCTACTGAATATTTAATGTTTACCAGAGTCTGAGAGTACAAAGACGAACTTTTCCCTTGTTCTCAGAGGAGAATCAGATAAGTCGCACTGTTCTCACACCAAGAGAACTTCAGGGAAAAGCTTAGGGGGAGAGATGGGGGAGGGAAGGCATCTCAGAGGCCTGGGCTCTGCTGTGGGGAGGGACGAAACTCTTGCTGCCTTTGTTCTTCAGTAAGGGTGCGTAATGGACCCCGTGTAGCCTGTGTAATGCTGCACACAGCTGGGTTTCTGGGTCTGCTTTCCCACTCAGCTGATGCCCAGGGCAGGTGGAATCTATTCTTCATAGCTTCTTAGTCCTCCAATTAGAGAAGAGTGTGGGCCCCAGCAATCTTAATCATGCCTTTTCAAACATGTTAAGCCCTTCTTTTTGCCAGGTAGTATTTTAGCGTATTAGGTCACATGTTGCTGGCATACTCATCGTTATTCTCAAACATCTTTTAAAACTGAGTGAAGACAATCAGAGGAGGAAAATCACCTACGGAAAGATGTGGTGTGCCAGCACAGCCAAGGGTGGGGCGAGCCTGAGGGGGGGCAGCAAAGGATGTAGAAAAGACAGACAGAATAAGCTGGGTCTAGGTCAGTGATGGCGAACCTATGACACGTGTGTCAGAGGTGACACGCGAACTCATTTTTTTGGTTGATTTTTCTTTGTTAAATGGCATTTAAATATATAAAATAAATATCAAAAATATAAATCTTTGTCTTTCTATGGTTGCAAATATTAAAAAATTTCTATATGTGACACGGCACCAGAGTTAAGTTAGGGTTTTTCAAAATGTTGACACTCCCAGCTCAAAAGGTTTGCCATCACTGGTCTAAGTGGATCTTCCTGAGCCTGGCTGAGGCCACAGACAGAGATCCAGAGGCAAGCTGAGCCTTTATTTTATAGCCAGAGGTAAACAAGGTAGTGGTCACCATAGTTACAGTGTTCTTGTGAGTTTCACTTGTTTTGGCAGCACTTGCTGCACCTCCCACAGCCCATTAGCTACCCAGATAAGATCTAGGGAGCATCATAAGGTCAAGCCTAATTATGCTAAGAGGGCTGTGGCCTCTAAGCTGGTACTTGTTTGTGGCTTTGCCAACAGGTCAGTCCAAGGCTTAACCCTATAGCCAATCCCTACAAAAGACAAGACCACTTAAATTTGCATTAGAGCAGCGGTCATTCAGCATCTCTCCAAAGACATTTTTTTTTTAATTCTGAATACAGGACCTACTGAATGTTTAATGATTTACTCTTGTGTAAATCAATGGTCTTCAGATCACATTTGCTTGGCAGACAATGAAATTTGTTAACCAGGCTTTTTTTCTACAAGGAAAAGCTCGGGCTTCTGAGAGAAATTCCGTGTTTGATGTAACCCATACAATCTGATAGAAAAGTCCCTCAACTGGCTGGATTACAAAGCTTCTAGGATTACCCATCTCTGAAATCCAGGTGATTCTTGCTAATTTGGAGGTTTGTGTATATGATCATATTTTCCAGACCTGTCCATTGAATCTTTGTCCCCCAACCCCAACCCGGGGAATTTGGCCGTCAGCACTTTACCCTGAGTGATGGGATGGGAAGGAAGAGAGTTAACTGAAATGGAGAAAGTTACACACTCCTTGAACACAGCCTACTTTTTGTTAGTTTCTGGATTTGAAAACACCATCAGACATGATTCTTGCCCTTAAGGAGCTGATTGTGTGTAAGCAACCTTTGTATACATCTGGGAAGAAGGGATTAAAGATCATGGAATATTAGGGTATTCAACTTACCCATAAAAGTCTTTTAGTTTATCAGTCAAGGAAAGAAAGGAGGAATAAAAGGACAACCTATTGAATATTTAATGTCCTTGTAGGACTAATTGAGAGCTATTTTATTCATTCATTCATTGACTTATTGCCATTAAATCGCTCATTTGTTTCACACTAAATGAAATAATAGATTAGAAACCTGGGTTTTATTCCTGTTTCTATCACTAACTGGCTTTGTGACTCCAGTGGGTAGACTGTTCCCTGCCTTAACTTCTGTGTTTGGTATAGTAATTCTTGCTCCAAGTGACTTGCTGGTCAGTATATATATTTCAGAGAGGAAGGGAGAGGGAGAGAGAGATAGAAACATCAATGATGAGAGAGAATCATCCATCAGTGCCTCCTGCACACTCCCTACTGGGGATCGAGCCCACAACCCAGGCATGTGACCTGATGGGGAGTCAAACTGTGACCTCCTGCCTGGTTCATAGGTCATGGGTCAATGCTCAACCACTGAGCCATGCTGGCCAGGCTGTGCTGGTCAGTTTTGAGAGTCAAATGAGATAAATGGATACAAACAGTGTTGACAAATAAGAAACTCACCTCTGGCCCTAACTGGTTTGACTCAGTGGATAGAGTGTCAGCCTGTAGACTGAAGGGTCCCAGGTTCAATTCTGGTCAAGGGCATGTACCTTGGTTGCCGGCACATCCCCAGTAGGGGGGTGTGTAGGAGGCAGCTGATCGATGTTTCTCTCTCATTGATGTTTCTAACTCTCTATCCCTCTCCCTTCCTCTCTGTAAAAAATCAATAAAATATATTTTTTTAAAAAGAAACTCACCTCTGTGAGATAATATTGTCTTTGTTCAGGCAGCCTAATATAGGCCAGTGGTTCTAGACCTGACCATAAGCAGTGATCCTGGAGGATTCTATGAAAATACAGATTAGCGGGCCCTGCCTCTGGAGATTCTGGGGGGCTGCAACTCAGGACTCTGCATTTAAGAAGCACTTGAAGTAATCCTGATGCAGGAGATCTGAGAGTCCCACTGCAAATCCGATGATTCTGCCACAAGATGTCTCTTTCCAGGAAGGTCCGGGGGCCCTCATGTTGGAGCCTTTGCCTTGGGTTTACTTATGCATGTTCAGAAGTGACGTCTCTCAGTTCTGATGTTTATCTGCACGCTCTATACAGGGACTTGCACTCCGTGTGTGCTCAGTGGAAATCCACCGGCCTGGCCTGCCCTACATGCCCCAAACCACGATTCAGCAGGAGAATGAGGCAGAGTGTAAGCAGTCCTTTCTTTCCCTTTTCTCTATAGCAACGCAGAGCCTTCGGAGAAGAGATTCAGAATGAACGGCTTTGTGTCAGACTTCGGAAGACCGCTGGAGCCAGATAAGGGCAACGAGGAGTCCCGGTCTCTCTTTCACTGCTACATCAATGAGGTGGAGCGCCTGGAGAAAGCCAAAGCTGGCCAGCAGACCACAGCCCTCGATAGTTACGTGCAGCTGCAGGAAGTCACCAGAAGCAGCGGGCGGCCAGAGGAGGAGCTGAATAGGCTCATGAAATTTGACATCCCCAACTTTGTGAACACGGACCAGAACTCCTCCTTTGGGGACGATGGTCTTCTGATTTCAGAACCACCTGCTGTTCTGGAAAATAAGCCAGTTTTCCAGACCTCACACTGACCTGGATTGAGAAACATGCTCTGTAATTTTCTTCCTGAAGATGTTGGGGTGTGTTTGTATAGCCAGAAATCTTCATTTACCAAAGTGGTGTGTGTCTGAGAGAGAGAGAGAGAGAGAGAGAGAGTGAGAGAGAGAGAGAGAGAGAGAGAGAGAAGAGAGCCCCCTCAGAAGGGAGCTGATTAAGCTGAGTGGGAATAAAGTAACTGTCTCACCTTCCTTATTGTTGAGAAATTTGGCCACATACTGGGCATCAGCGTTCTTGAATGGGGGTTATCTTCTGTGTTCCTGCCACGGCCATTCTCTACCTTTAGCAAATTGCTTTCCCTCTGGGCTGCCGCATCCTTTTCCTGTAAGGTGAGGAGTCTGGAGTAGATGTTCCCCACTGGCTCTAATATTTTGTGAATTTCTGACCGTGCATGCAGACGAGGCTGGGGTATACATAAAGCCGCATAAACTAGGGCACTGGATCCTATTTCTTACTGTAGGACCCCCACCCCTGCAAATGTCTGTACCTGCACTCAACCCTTAACTGAGCTCAGCTTTTGTCCGGGCCCAAACGCCTACCAGGATGCTAGGACACTTGTCTCACACATCACGGTGGACAACATTTCTGCCAGCTGTGCCAAAACAGCTTTTCTGAGGACCTCTGGCCACCCATGCTCAAACCAGGGGACAGTCCTAGAATGAATTTCAGTCCATGTTACATCTCATAGAACTCCAGTCCCCAAGAAATGTAAGCGAGGTTATCAACTGAGTGAGGGAGGTGACCTGTGTGTGTCTCTGTGTTGATCTGTCTGTGTCTGGTCACACTGTTGTCCCCTTGGCCACTGAACAAGTAAAGTGCTATTTGCCATGCAGTCTGCTTGCCTGGCAGATGTGGAGGGGATGGTCATCTGGCTAGTATGTGGCTGTGAGTTAAGATGGTGAATGGGTTGTAAATACCCCACTAATAGGTTGGCCTGGTACAACACACTTAAACATGCCCCTGGTATCAGAAATAATTCGGCTTTACACTTCCAGGTTGCATGCATGGCCAACTGCTAATCTCAGTGATGTATTCATTATGGATTTGTTCACCACCTGTCTTGCTTAAGTTAAAAAATAAATATGTTTGATTGCACAGGAATTTTCTCTGGTTCTTTGTTTTCACACATCCAGTGTTTTTTATTTCCTTCGTATAACTGTTCCTTGTTTATAATGCCTCCTAACGTCTACTATCTCTAGGAGCCTAGTAGTCCAGGTCATGTCAGCTTTCATTTAGGAATTATTCCATCAAAATAAATCCCTTTCCCATAATGTCTTTTGAGGAAAATATTATTCTTTGAGAATCTAATGCTAAACAGAACAAGGAGTGAAATGTTTTTTGTAACTAAAGCTGCTATTACACATTCTTGCAAACAGAGACCTGCTGTTTTTGATGAATATTTTCAGGAAAGAGAGCAAGAGTAGCAAAGAATGCTGATTTTATTAACTTCTAATATAGATATTCTTCATAATTAACCAAATTAAACTATTTTTATTAAGAGTGAAAGCTCTTCAAATGGTATTTGATTTAGAAGTGGACTTATTAAAAGACTGAAGGATATTTAAAAGTTGGAAAAATACCCATGACTCCAGTCGTTTTTGTGAACTAAATGTCAAGGACTGGGACGGTCTAAGGTCTTACCCCCCGTGGCTAACCAGCCACCTGGCTGGGCTGCGTGGGTGCATGGAAGACACAAGACTCCTGAGTCGGAAACAACGAATTTCATTACAGCCCAGCAGGCAGCAGTGCTTCCTGTTCCTGTTGGTTCCTGAATTCATTTGCCATTGCTGTCTGCACAAAAGATAACACTGTGGGGCTTAAAGAAACACAGATTTCTTCTCTTAGAGTTCTGGGGTGCAGACTCCAAAAGCAGTCTTCGTGGGCGCAAGTCAAGGTGTGGCCAGGGCTGTGGTCCCCCTGAGGATCCAGTGAAGAATCCATCTCCTTGCCGTTTCCAGCTCCAGGAGGCTGCCCAACTCCTCGGCTCCTGGTCCCTCTCACTGCGACCTCTGCTTCTCCTTTATGCCTCTGTCTCTGACCATCAGGCCTCCCCCCTCTAAAGGCCCTGGGATTGGTTACAGTGGATTACCTGGGTAATCTCCCATCTCAGGATCCTTAGTCAGTGTAAGTCAGTGGGTTCAGATTCTGGGAGTAGTACATGGACGTGTTTGGGGGACATTAGCCACCAACAGTCTTCCATTTGGTCCCAAAGATTCATATCCATCCCACATGTAGAATACACTGATCTCATCCCAACATCTTCCAAAGTCTCAATTAATATAGCATCAACTCAGTGTCCTATATATACACTAAATCTTATCAACTCACAAGTCCCAAATCTCATGGATTTTAATCATCTAGGTCAGGTGCGGGTGAG